GTTTTTTGTCTTTATTATCATACATATTACTATTGACTGGTATCTGAAAATCTGGAGGTACAGATACACTTCTAGTTGATTGTTGGTTATAATTACTAGTGTCCTGTTCTGTTTCTTGAATTGCTCTAAAACGCATAACCTGTCTATCACTTAATTGAATGCGTTCATTGTGATTTGTAATGCAAATTTTCGTGCAGCACTGTCCACTTTTTGATAAACACTTAAACAAAAATTGAAACCTACGATAACAACACATTATTATCACTAAAAAGATGATTAACGCTGTAGATAAAGAAAACCAAGATAGATGTTTTGCATTGAAAGGTTTGTTCATATGATGATCCAAGATTTGTTCGAATTGCTCTAATTTATGTTGTGAATGTCGCAATTCGTCTAAATTAAAACTTTTAATTTCCATCGGCTCCATTAACATATCGCTGTTGTTGAGGAACTTTCGTTGACGGATGCAACAATCGTCGGTGTCCATGTTAATATTAGGAAGGAAATTCGTAAAGTTAGAGGTATAATCTGATGTTGCGTATAACACTGTAGTGTATGTAAAACATTTACATTTAGATCGTAGTGTAATTATCCCAATGTTTTCCAATTCAGCGTCGATTATGTTAGTTGACGAATTTTCACAGCTGATTGACGCAGTGGTTTTCTTGGACATAACAAATAACCAAGAGTTTTTTGAGAGTGGATGCCACATTTCCATTCTTGCTTTTATGTTACGAACGGAACAATCCTTTGGAATTTGTTTGATTGAGTCAGTTCTTAAGAGCGTTTCGCAAACTGGTCTTTCTGATGTCCTGTATATGATTGGATCTTGACATAGGTATTCCTCTTCTGATAGCTTTTTACACTGTGATAAATTCTTAAATCGGCTGTACATAGTTTTAGTTGTACTCATCAAAAGGTAAGGATAGGTGGGATCACGAACTGAATAACTGAATATAATGCTTTTTATCTTGATAAAACGTGCATAAGATATTTTTTAATTCTCTCCAATTTTCATAAGACTTACCATGAAGCATTGATCTTACATTTCCAGTTAATTTAGAAATTATAAATGCCAATAATGCGCGATTTTGTGATTCTGATGCAAGAGAAACTGCATTATTGCAATTTGTGAGGAATTCATTAAACTCTGATCTTTTTCCATCGAAGGGTTTTGGAATAAGGGAACATAGGAACTGTAGGTTAAATTGTTCAGTGTGCGAGTTAGAGCCAGACACAGAGGAATTAGGAGTAGCAGAGTTAGAGCCAGACACAGAGGAATTAGGATTAGCCATTATAAAAATTTAAAGGAAGTTTTACAACTAGAACCAGAAAAGTCGATAGAGAATCTACTCACAGTTTTTAGCGATGTTTTCTTCGGCTGTGGTCCGTGGAAAAATCGTCTCTGCTCAAAGGATTGAAATCCAACCAAAATACAGTGATCCCGTAGTAGTGATCCCGTCTATGTAGCAGCGATCCCACTTCTGAAACCAAAATTTTCCTGTTGTATACTTCTGACACCAAACAGTTTTTTATACGTGTATGTTGACACGAATAAATTCAAATCAAGATGAAGGAAGAGCGAAACAATCAACTGTAATTCTTTATTAACTAATTCTAAATTATACCACAAGATTAAACGGACAGAGATTCTGGCGATAGCAAAAATGACTGGCTGACTGACATTAATTTTACTAAGTTACTAACTTACTTCTATAACTGATAAGACGGAGGTTTTATACCGGTTTTAGTTTACCATTCTCTAGACGTCATAAATTTCTCTAATTTTCACTAATTATCAAAAGTTAAATATTACAAGAAATATCGAAGTTACACATTATTTCTTAAATGAATATAAACAAGAAGAATAAATGTTGTTGTCTCTAACGGAAATCGATGTTTGCTTATGTTTACTTAATTTTAGCTTAATATTTAATATTCCCAAGATAATGATTATTAAAGTTGCTATACAGGGTGAACACAAATTGAGTTGGTATCTAACACCTCTTATTTTCTAATTCATCACCGGTTTTTATTAAATTAACGCGACATTTCTGACAATTAAAATTTTTAATACAACGATATGCCAAATAACCCGCAACATATCTCATCGCGCACGTCTCAAGTGTAATGGGGCGAACATCATCATCATCGTCATCTTGATCTGAAAGATATTCTGACATGCTATCATCTAACCTATGCTCTTCAATTACTGTATTATCATGCATGTCTAGTGATAAATTATTTTCATGCACCCCTTTGTTTTTAGAAATAATCATAAAATTAGTATTATCGTCCATGCAATTAGATCCCCTTGGTGGAGCAACTAATCTAGCTACTACAGTATA